TCCGTTTAAAAGAACGGCGTTAGGTAACGACGTTATTTTTTCAGTAACGGGGTAATCTAACTAATTACTTTTCCCGTCGTTACAACGCCGTTAACGTTACTGGACGTTAAATGCGATGCGTTACCACGGGCGTCAGTTTGGTTTGAAATGTGCTGGGGACAGACAGAGATGCATTCGGAAGTGCATTTTCAGAAATGCTGGGCAGCCTACAAACTGTGGAGCCTCTCTGCTCAACCCGTAAATAAATCTATCGATCCACAATTATTGTGTGAGTGCCAAGCGTGTCAGAGGTTACAGTTTCTAATCCACGCTCGAATAGTTTTTTTTTTTTTCTCATCAAAACTGAATATGTTCATCAGTGGTTACAGTCTATATCAAGCAGAGACACGGGACGGTTGAGTGCATTTTATTTTGTGATTTTACCGGAATGAATAGTCTCTCCACAACGGCGATAGATTGAAGAGCGCGTCCGAGTGAATACTGCGCGCGCGCCACAAGAGAACAAATGCAGCTGCGGCAACGAGCGCTCAGCTTGAGGTCAAAACCAAAACATCTCTTATTTAATAGCGAACTAAATGAATGCTCTGCTAGTTAACTGGAGATGTTTTATTTATTTGTTTCTAAAACTGGTGGGTACAAAATGACTCGTGACAAAAGAGCGAGTGCGTTTTTGTGCGTTACTATGTATTGATTGAATTAACTGTGTAATCCGAACGCACCCCTGGCTCACACAGCTATGGAGGTGGGTTAATAAGTGCAGTGAAGTGAAGTGCAGGATAAACCTCTTGCTGTCTGTCGTGTCGACGTGCAATAAATATAGAAAGTTATGTACAAACACCTGTCTGTTCAACTCATTTCAACTGACTTGTGAAAACTGCTAAAAAAAAAATCAAAATTCTTTGACAAATAGCAACTTTTTTTTTTTAAAGTAACGCAAATAGTTACTTTCCCTGGTAACGAGTTACTTTTATTATAGAGTAATTCAGTTACTAACTCAGTTACTTTTTGGAACAAGTAGTGAGTAACTATAACTAATTACTTTTTTAAAGTAACGTTCCCAACACTGGATATAATATATAGTCTAATTAAATACAAAATCTACACGATATAACATATAAACATCTTTTTTTAAATTTTGTTTTACCTATTAAAGTTCATTATAACTGCCAAAAAAATGTTTTCCAGACTAATTTGTGTTTGGGGAACAAAAACTACCCGTCACCTGATCAGTTGTGAAAAAAATGTCATATCCTTTAACAATACAACTTATATTGTTTGGCTGGATGGGACTATGATTTTTGCCCATTGTGTGGCTGTGGTCAGCATCAATGAAAGCTTTCAAGCTTTATATTCGAGACTATACTCCCTGCAGTAAAACTAGCTGTTCTCTGATTTACAAGTAAAAACACAACCAAGAGTGCACATTTGAGATCACTTTGTTCTGCTCTGTTATCTTTAAACTTCAAATAATGTGGCTCCTCTTATCCCCTAAAGTTGATCCCAGGACACACCCGAAAAAATTCATCCTCTCTGCCCCTCCTTGTTCTTTTCCCTTCCTTCGCTTCTTGGTATAGCACTGCGTGCATTGTAGTCATACGGGATGACTCACCCTGACACACCAACCCTGACTGCTGTTATTCACTCTAGTTCATACAAGCAGACACACCTATGAGCCACTCACCAGGAAACACCCGTTCCCACATATCCTAGTTTTGAACTATTACTATATTTTTTATGACTACTCCAGCATCGTTGGATAACTCACATGATCCAAATGAAAAGCAAGAGATCCTCTTGTTTAGATTACAGTGACTAATCTCACAAATATGCATTTGCCTCAAACTGAGCTTTGTTGCATTTGCTGTGGCCATTTCGTGTCTTTTTCCCCCCCTCACATGGTTTTGGAACTCTGCAGAAAAGCATGACTGTTTTGTTCCTTGACATTCTTCGCCTGTTTGTTATCCAAAAGTTTTTATTGCATTGGGGAGACAAAACTCCTACACCACGAAAGCAACAAGAGAACACTGGAACACATGCACATTGTTTCAGTTGTTTCAAACGTTTTGTCTGTTCTTCTGGTTACAGTATTTATAAGATGTCTGATAATGTCGTATAAGGTTTTCAAGTACTGGCTTCTGCAACATATTTCTTGTATTTCATGTGTTTTTACTCAAATCAACTTGCCACTCCCTTTGCTTCTTTACAGGGCAGACAGTAAAACCTCTTTCTCGTTTGGAGAATTCATCCTTTGCTTACCATTACACAGCCCTGAATATGGGTGTGACACGTGGATTTGTTCACTATGTGCCTCAGGGTTTTCTCTCTGCCTGTCTGTCTTTCCGTCTGTTTGCCTCAAAACCAACCAACCACCCTCCCTCCCATCCCAGAACCACATATGCACACCTACAATGTTTACCTGCATTGCTGATGTGATCTAAGGCAGCTGAAACAGCCCTTTAAATGAAGCAACCACAGACGTCTTACTCAATCAAATGTGAATTAGACCTTGTGAAACCTATTTTGTGAGATTAGGGCAGGTTAAAACAAAGCAAAACTATTGAGGGAGAATTTAGGGGTATAGAGGAACATGTGAGACGCTTCAAGGAAAGGCTGCTTTTTGACAAGGATGAAGGATTGATTTGGTTTGGTCGCTGCAGGGTAAATCCTGAAGCAAACGAACCCCTTGCAGTAAACATAAAACAGGAAGAACTGAAAAAGTGTCAACGGTAGGGTATAGGTGGCAAGCCCGATTAAATCAGTATTCCAGGTCTTCCAGGTATCTCATCAGCCATGCAAATCATGTGTATTCAATTGTTGCTTCAGGTATACATTTCACTTTACTTTACTCTTGGGGTTACTTTTTATCTAAAAACTTTACATATAGTTGTGTGTGTGTGTGTGTGTGTGTGTGTGTGTGTGTGTGTGTGTTAAATATTAAGTTCATCACAGAAGGGTAGTTGGATTTATATTATTTACATTATTGATTGAGACATTTTTGAGGTGGACATGCAAAGGCCATCACATATCTTCAATTTGATGTATTGCGTAATGCAAACATCTTGAGTTAGCTATAGATGCAGAGAATCCGTCTTCAAAGGTTTGTGCTCTGAATTGCATACTTGCCTCAGTGAACTATCACAAATTAGTCTAATTACATTTAATTGAATACTGGATTTAAAATGTTCACAGCCTTTATAATTTGAGTTAATTAGATTCATTATTCTATTTTTTTTTTCCAATATTTCGTTCAAAGCATTTGTCATTGCGAGCATCTGTAATTTGTCTCTTACTTTGTTTGTTCATTAATTCATTAATTCATTATATTGACTATGTTAAATTTAAAATGGGAACAGCTGATAACAAACAGCATAATTCAAACTCTTGCTGCATATCTTGATATGCAGCTCTGCATTGTTATAAAAAAATTCCTGAGATATTATTCTATTTTTCTTGAACGTTCTGACTCATGTTTATATAACGTTCTAAAAAAACATACACATTGTATTTTTCTGCGACTGTTATTTTGCCATTTAAGCCTTGTTTGTTGGCTGTCTGATCAGTTTGAATGAACTGTTGTCTTTGTAGCTTGTTTAAAATTAATAAACAAATATCTCTGTACTTTGTTATACCTCATTTTAGACATGCACAAATCATTTTGTCAACATATACCTGAAAGGTATCGATTTTAATTCATAAAATGTAGCTTTTAACCATTTAAAATATGTAAAATACTCAAAGCACCAATACCCTTAAAAAACAAGACTTTATGTTATTTTTACTTTTTATTCTTATTCAAAGAATCAATTGTTTAACTGCAGTGATGTTTCATTGTCACAAAATGAGAATGAAACTCCTCAGAGATCTCTGGATCTACACTGGATTTTCTATTATGAAAATGCTATGGAAATTATGTTGGACTATACAGACGCAGTGAACACATTATCAAAGGCAAGAAGCCCTCCTTCAGATTGCAACACATTTGATCTTTGTCATTAAAAACAAATGAAAACTAACAAAAGTAGAAAAAAAACCCTACATAAACTAATTCAAAATTAATTAATCAGAAAAGGTGCATTATGCACACACAGGACATTGTGGGACACATTGCACTCAGGCTATAGGCCTATGCACGAACAGAATATAGAAGACTAGGTTGTCACATGGGGGGTCACAAGAGTATAGTCAGTAGCATTTGATTTAATCAAACCTCACAAATGTGGGTTTTTTTTTGCTTGTATTTTTCTTTGAACATCTAGTTAAAAACTCTATTCCTCTATGCAAAGTAAAATGCCAGTATCATTTTCGCTATATAATAGCACAGTAAAATCAGACTATAGCATTAATCAACAGTCAAATAATGAAAACTAATTAAATAAATGAACAGATATATAATTTGTTGTAATGTGTTATACCTTTTTTTAGGAAGAGACATGCACAAAAAAAATCATTTTACAAATGTACAATAGTCTTTGCTTAGTTTGTGCCCTTCCTAAAAGATTGGGATCATGTGCCACCATGTGACATTTTATATTAGCCTACGCAATAGTATAGGGAAACGGGTCTATTTGTCACAGTTTCTACTCCGGTTCAGGCTAATTTTTGAAAGTTTGGATTTTTTTATTAAACATAGTAGGTAGGCCTATGTTAATTACAATGTTTAAAACACTTAACAAATTGCCTCAATAAAGATGTGCCAACTTGCACCAACCTTATAATAAAATGAGTCTGACTCTTGTCCTAAGAGTTTAAATCTGATTCCAATCCACATTCACGCGCTTTATCGCTGCGTTAAACCTGCATGTCACTCAAACAGTAGGTGGGCTGGACTAAAATTATAAGGGTCCACTCCCCTACTACACCGTTACCCCCGCCCTCTTCTCCAGTGAAGAACTCCACAGACCTAGCCCAAACTCTGCCATTCTCCATAGCCCGGAGTTACAAGCACACTGAGGAAACGAAATATCGCTAAAGTGAGAGGAAGAGAGAGAGAAGTAACTAACAAAAACAAGAAAATAATAAAGCGAGGCTTCAAGCCTCGAGAACGAGAGAGAGAGAGTACACGAATACGTCAAAGTTTAGTTTGGAAAGCGTGGTGGAAAACTTCTGGGCTGTGGCAGAAAGCTGTGGACCGCGGATGATGCCAGAGCAAAGGTGTTGAAGGTTCCAGGTATGTTTGTGTATCTCCTGAGGTTAATGAGTTATGCAGTTCTGGTGTGCGACGCTCACGTTGCATTTAAAGCAGTTTTCCACAGACTGTCTGTGAACTTATAATATTCTTAATTATGCCGAATAACGCTATAAATTTGCTTATTTGGTTCTTAGAAAGTCTATTATATGTCATAAAATCTCAATCTTATCATCTGTATTGTTGAAGATGAAGAGGGTGGGTGTGTATCTGCTCAATTGTCATCTGTTGCGCACGTTATTTTTTCTCCTAACATTACTAAAGTTTGTTTAGAATTAAGCGTTTATTTTGTTAAACTCGACCAGCTAAATCATTCAGAAAAAAAAAAGGATTTATAATTAAGGCAAATATTCTGGGTTTTTGCATGTCATGCAAAAGATACACCCAAAGAGTGCAACGTGGATAAGAAGGTTGTCTCTGACTTTGGTTGCATGACTTTGCCCACGCTGTAAAATAAAATTAAAAAAAGTTTAAAAGAAAGCTATATGCTCTATCATAATTTCCCCCCCACAGAAATGCATTTTTATACAGTACCATAAAGTCGTTTCACACATCCATAGAATTTTTATGTTTCCTCTTGAAACGAGTATTATCCTGCCATACCAAATCTGGTCATAGCTCAAGATTTTTGGTCAACGTCAGCACATATTCTGCACTGTGGATACATCGTTTTCTCATATTTTTCCACTTATTTCATTTTTTAGATGGAGTTTTAATTTGTTTGAAAGATTCTTAATAACCTTAAAAATAAAGTGTGAATCTTTAAATTTAGTTTGGGAATTCTGTCCTGTTTTGCCTTGATTTTCTTAACCTGGAGCCCTGGCCAGGGTGTGGGTAGTGAGTAAGAGGGGGTGAAGAGAGGAGGGGGTAATGGAATGTAGTGGTTTGGAAAGACTTACTAATTGAAACCAGGTTTGAAGCACAGAGGGGGAAAGTAAGGCTTGCTATGCAGGATAAAGAACAAGGTGTTTTATTCACACCCGACTGCGCCATGAGCGGTATTTCAGTAAAATCACAGAAGGTTTCTGAACAAAATAAGAGAATGGAAAAATAGATAAAAGAGAGTGAGACTGAGATAAAGGGGAGTGTTGCAAATAAGTGCTGAGATTTTTGAGATATCCATGGAGTGTTGACATCCAAAAAGCTGTCTTTCAGTTGATCTGATTTAAGATATCTTTTAAAAATGTCCACAAGCAGATTTTTCACATTTGGAGCCCATCCCCCTTCTCCTGCCACACCCAAAGCTTTCTTCTGTTTTGTCAGAACACAACTACATAGCAGACTAAAGCAGTCAACCAGTAGTACTGTACTATATTAAAGCTGTAATAAAGCAACTTTATTTAAATTGTTATAATTTTAGTCAATTATTTCATAAACTAGAAAAATTTGGCTGTGCAAGGGTATGTCTTTGGAGTCCGATGTTAAGTTTTCCATGTGTGGCTGCCTCAATTTCAGCAATTTCTTTCAACCTTGGTTGTATTTGAAGGTTACGAAGAGTTTGGTTTAAAACAGAACAGTGAGCTTCTTACTTATCTTGAATGATATAGGATTTGAATGTTGAGTAGAAACAATGTTTGGTGTCCTGTGTGTCTTTATCTGATGCGTGGTTGTCCTGGAGGTTTACAGTGGAGGCACAACTTTCTCCTGCTCTGTGTTGATAGGTCAGATTAGGGTGTGCTTCATAGGACCTTCTATTCCAGTGTGAAAACGGAAAGAGTCTGGACTTGTGCACACTTCCTTTGTCGTTTCCTTAAAGGCTTGTCGATGGAAACGCCAAGGGAGGAGTGGCAGGCTTCGTAACAGAATGTTTCATTCTCTTATTTGTTTGTTTTCTCACATCTTGAATCTTCTTTTTTTTTTTTTAAAAGGGTACAGAATGAAAGAAGTCAACTCCATGAATATGTGATTATCCATCACAGATAAGTTGTCAGCACAGAGCACACTTGATTTCGTAGATAATACCTTACAGGATGTAGGGATCATTTGAAGAGTTTTGAAGTATGAAGTCTGAGCTGAAGACTTTGTTGCATTATCTTGGTACACGTCTTCCTGTTCAGACAGACCCTGGAGTTGTCATCATTCCATGGTTGAGAAATACTGGGTTGAAGCTAAAACAAAGTTGGACAATACATTATGGCTTTGCCAATATGGTTCTGAGTCAGTCAGGCATTCATATTTCACAATTTAGTAGAGTAACACAGTCTTGAGCACATATGCCTTAATCAAGGGCAGATTCTCAAGATTTACATGAAGTTGTTTTTTTTAGCCCTTATGTAGTTTTTTAGTATCAAGAGATTTGTCTTCACACATAGGCTACTGCATACTTTTATTATTATAATAAATTTTGGCGTTTCCAATTGATGCCATTTACTGCCTTATGATTTTTTTTAAATACTTATTTTAATAGTATTATCTTCTGTGAATTGTTCCACACAATGTTAAAATTAATATTATATTTTTATATATATATTTTTATTATTGTCATTTTGATCATATGAATTTTCGTTTTGTATGAGCGTCTACAACACATGATAGACTGTACTTCCATTGTACTTCTGCAATCCAGTTGGATTACTAGATTACATTTGCTGTTGTGCTTGAAATAGAAGATACGGTCTGCATTTGATTAAGGTTTAGGATCTTGTGACAGGATGGTTAGTCTGTTTATTGTTTATAATCTTCAATTTCCAAGGCTGGCCATTTTGGTCTGACATTAATGCTTCAATTATGTGTGAGTCCTCTTGTTTTCAGAAACAGATACTTTTAGTACAAATGTTGCGCTTAAACCGTAATTTACTGGGGTAACAAGTAAATCGGTTATATTGTAGCCAAGGTAAAAAGCATGCAATGCATGCTACTTGCATGGCATGTAGCAAATATTTCCTGGTAGCCACACCTGTCATTGCTGGGTTAAATATTGATTTTGGTTTTTGCATTTTAATTGAACAAGTACAAATGTGTGCAATTAGTGAAAGTGTTTACTGCTAACTAACTACTAGTACCTGTATACCGGTAGTTAAAGGCCACTGTTACAATATGCTTCAAGCATGTTTCAAGTAAATGTAAAATGACCAAATAATATTCCATATCAATGAATAACAGCAAAGATACTCTGCAGTGACACTACATACATGGCATGTAAGAGTTGCTTGTGACGATACTGTTTCAAAGTTGCACGCTTATTTGGAAAGTGTTTTATATGGCAAATTAAACACTGAGGCCATATTTTAATAGTTCTAATGCATTCAAAAGTATTCTTTAAGGTAATTTGATGATCAGCATTTATTGACGTAGACTTAACGTTTGACTACAGCTCCAACTACATCACACCATTTCAGTAATGTAGGAATGCACATCTATACTTGTTTACAACAGCACAAGGAGACGCAGCAGAGGTTATATCATTCTAGGTGCAGTTTACATGAGTTCGTTTCTAGTTGAATTGTAGATAAGAGTTAAGATCTGACTAATTTAGATGTTTCAAACCACATGCCTTTTCACTTCTATACAAAACACTTGGCAGTGCTGTTTCAGACCTAACTATAAAACCATCTGATGGTAGCTGGAAAGCGAACCACCTTCCCATCAGTCATCACTATGTATTTGATTGCTGACTCATATCCCTTGACTCCGTTTGAAAAGCCTTGTTAACAGGATAAACAAACATGTCAGGGTAGACAAAAAAACGTGACTCAATGTGAATACTGACAGCCTTTTGCTAATATACATGTATCTGAATTATGTAAATGTTTCTCTAACATTTCATTAATCAAGATACATTTAGTGTAATTCACTACAACACTTTTTTTAAAAATGGTTTAATTTTGATTCCTGTTTGTTCCTCTAAATAGTTGATATTTCCACAATAAAATTGAAAGCGTATGTCTTTGCACGAGAGTTTGGTCACTTTGTGGGTTTGAATTGAGTCGATGTGGAAGTAAAAGTTAAATTTTTAACCAAATTGTAGTTATCCCTTTTTATGTATGAGCTCTTGCTTTGTCAAAATTGCCTGCCTCTTGCCAGAAAAATGAATGATGAGCATTTAATGGGGAAATATGAATTACACTTGTTACAATAAAAAGTATCCTGTAATTTGCTTTGGAAAAACGTGTCTGCTAAAGAGCCAAGTAACCAAGCATCCCCTGTAAGCAAAGCCAAAGGCCACAATTTATGTTATTGCATTGTGGCTGACTGTATGTGTGTGCGTCTGCTATTGTACATTACAACACTTTAATGGAAAAAGTGTGGCATTAAACCCCAGCAGTGGCTCTTCTATAATTAGTGGTTTGGTTGTTTGCCCAACAATTCTATCACTTATCTACCCCTCTGCATTGCTGAAATGTGAGTTATTGCACAACTATAAATCCACATTTACATTGGAGCACTAAGACCTTTTAAACCATGCAAACAATCATTTTATGACTTCTTTTGCTGTGCATTAATCAGTGTCATGAGGGGCTTCTGTTAGTCTTTATACATTTGGAAATCGGCTGGCTTCCTTCCTTTAATGAAATAAGAAAAGGATCAGGTTTCCTTGCTTCATTTGGTGTTAGTAAGTGGAAACTTTGAAAGAGTACCCTGTTTTTGTACCCAGCTCAGACCCACTGGGTGAGTTAAGTGGTTGGGTAGAGAGTACATTGCTTTGGAGTTAGTCACTGCAGGAGAGGCTGGGCTCTCTTCCAGTTGGCCTGACTGGTCTATCAAAGGAATGCGTGTGACTGGAGGCCTGGGTGGGGCTCTCGGCTCTCTGCATGTGCGCTATGTGCGGGCTTGAGAGATGGTGTGAGTGTAGTTTCTCTCTTATTGTGCGAAGGGCGTGTCCCCAGCTTTGGATTTGCAACGTTTGCTGCCTGTGTTGTGCTATAAAGTCTGCTCTTTTTAGATTTGCACAGTTGTTGCCAAACGACCTCTGCCAGATGGAAGCATTGCGGTGTCATCTGACACATCTTAGACCTGTGATTATGGTCGCGTTTTGTACTAGT